AGCCGGCGGACGGAGCCTGCCGCTCCGCCGGCCTGGAGTGGGTGTTTGGGGGGGGGAAAGCCGGCGGACGGAGCCTACCGGCTCCGTTCGCCGCTGGGCTGAATGGGCTCCTTACTGTTTGTCGGGAACAATGGCCGCTCAGAAGACGCTGGCTGCACGACTGGCTCCCTCCCCTCCCAGCCACCCAGCCAATGGCAGGTAGCATCTTCTGAGTGGCATTTTTTCCGTCCAAACACTAAGGGGGCGCATTTTAGAATTTTGGCACCGACTACTCGATTATAATAAGGAGAGATTAGTGTAGAGTACATGGGGAGGGGGAGAAAATCACATCTCTGAATGTATGCCTTTAATAAGCAAAATGGATGTTCAGGTAGAAAACAAGAATTTATATATATTGTTTTGAAAGCCTCAGTTTGTAAATTAAAGTGAAACATGCATGTTGGTGATAATGGTCTATGATTTGTAATATTTCGACTGAAATTCAAAAGCTAGTCATAATCCATACGGCAGCTCCAGTGTCATTGATCACCCTCAAATACTGTATCTTACCTGAGATTTGTATCAGATTGTGTAGCCTGACAAGAATGATTTTAAAAAACCCTTACAAATCCAGTTGCCATTGCATCTTGAAATCTGTTTGTGGCACCTGGAGCTCCAGTGTGGCCCCACCCCCATTTATCTTAGATATTCCCAGTTCCAAGCCCTTTCTTGTACCACCTCCACCTCCTCCTCCCTCGTGTTACATTCTTTCCTTTTTATCTCCATTCTGTGCCTTGCTCTCCTTCTGCCCTGCTTCCTTTCCATGTCTCTTTCTCCCTGTCCCCACAGCCAGCCGCTACTTAACTAGGTCTCTCCTCCTCTGGCCATAGCTGCCCCACCAGACATGTGCAGCCACACATTTTCCAGCCTGTGCACTTGGCGCTGGCAGCATCAAGCTCACTCCTCCTAGCTAGCTGATCATCAGGCTTGCTAGCATGGGTGGCTCCAGTGTTTGACAGTCTTTTGCCTTGCCAAGCCCTGGGTGTGTACATGGACCATGGTGGTGGGGGCCTCTCTGCAGGTGGACTATCATAGAGGGAGAGAGAAGAAAATCCCATTTCTTTTGCATTATTTATAGGGGGATCCTAAGCATATTTACATAGACGTAAGCACTGAGCTCAATGGGGCTCCCTCCCTAATAAGTGTGTTAAGGATTGCAACCTTAGACCCTACATTTACTATAACAATGTTGCGGGAGCGAGAATGTAACAGTCCAAGACACCAGCCTTTCAAGCAAGTCAGCACCCTTAAGGTCTTTCCAGCCTCTCAGCCTTGCCAGCTCTTGCTGCAATCTTTGCTGTGAAGTCCCTTATAGTAACCACACTGCAACAGTCCAGTGGTACACTATGTACAAGGGTTTTATTCACAACATATACAGACAAACTGCTTCGCCAGACACTCGGTTTCATCAGAAGAGATGTACATGGCTTCTGTACAACACATATATACATTGGTCCACCAATCAGCCACAAGCTGAGTCATGGTGACTGCACACTGTCCAGTGCCAGTCATAACCGGTTAGAACCAGTCTTATCACACCACCTGCTGACAGGTAGCTGTCAGTTAGATCACACTGATCTTCCTGCTGGAGATTAACTTACAACAAACAAATACCCAGGTCTTTGCTAATTTCAACAAGAGAAGAAAGATGAAAAAATATATAGTTGTGACTGAATTAACTTAGCAGTACATAATTCTGAAACAACATAGCCTCTTTTCCTGAACTCTTGGCAAAGTCCATAGATGGATTATTGGATCTTATTGGGTTATTTATTCTCTAAAGTCTCTTTATTAATTTTAAAAATAATTTTGCCACTTTTATGCACTTGCTTTTATAATCTATTATGCTTTCTTTCCTGAAACAATTGAGCTGATTCTGCACCCAGTTTTCCTTTTATACTTACATTGAGACACATGTCTTTCTTGTGAAAAATAAAAGATATAGCAGTAGCTTTATCCACCAGCTTCTATGGCAGTTAACAATGAGAAACCCATACTCCAGTTGTTCCAACACAAAACCACGAGCCCATTTCATCAGAAGCATGAAGGACTCACCCAAATACAGAGAACATTTTTAACAAATCAAAGCCAATCCAGTGATATCCATAGGTGACTAAGTCCTATGCAAAGTGTAACTGAATACAGAATAAATTAATGTGGCAGCCACTGGCTACTCAAAAACAAGCAAGATCACTAGTGTCTTGGTGGCAAAAAGGAACATTCGAAAAAAAGAGTAAGAAAAGTAAGCTTATTTTAAGAAAAGTGGTATATAAATGTTATCTAGTCTTTTACTTGTACACAGTTGAAAGATGGCGTAAAATGTAGTATTTTATTTTCAAAGTCTATTCCAGTTAATCATAACATATAGAGGTGATATTAAAGATAACTGATAAGACTAATAAAACTGTTTTTATTTCACAGTATTATTACTCTGGCACTCATGGGGAATGGGGGGTTGCTAGCTAATCAAATGTGTCAGATACTCAAGCTTATTGCTCTGCATTAACCCCTACCCAGAAGAATCCACAGCAACCAGACCCCACCCCACTGGGAATGTGAAGGCAGCATGCCAGGACCCTTGCCTTTCCCCCTGAAGCTACAAAATATTCCTGTGTAAAAGGCAAGCAGGCAGGTTACCTGTCCCCAGAGCCCTCCAGCAGAGCTGGTTCTTGACAGCTTGAGGCAGGCTGTTGGGAACCAGTCATGTGAAAATGATGTTGGCTAGCAGCACGTGCTGTCAGAAGCCCAGCAATGATCAGAGGGCATTAAGCCTGACCAGCTGGGGTAGGCACATGGTCCAAAAGAGCCAGGTACATGGTGCCTGAGGGAAGGAGCCAGATAACCAGGGTTTTATTGGATTTGTTATAAGTCTCACTCCTAAATGTTCTTTTTTGGATCCTCAATACAAAGGAAATTTATCAAGCCTTGTTTAAAAAAAGTTTTGATCATGTCTGCCAGATCAAATGGCATCATGCATAGTAACCAGAAAACTGCTCTATCAGAAAACTGATAATGGTTCTTTTATAGTTGAGTGAGCTTAGCAATACCGGCTCAATACCACCTCAGCTAGGGCCAGGGCCTTTTCAGCTCTGGCCCCTGCCTGGTAGAACCCTGCCAGAAAATATCCAGGCCCTTCAGGACGTACTACCTTTCTGTAGGGCCTGCAAGGCAGAGATGTTTTGCCAGGCCTTTGGGTGAGGACAGCAATGGTTGGCACTCTCATAACACCAGGGGGCTGGTGGGAACAGAAATTTTTCACCATCTCAGATAATGGAATGGTAGTGTTTGAAATATATTGTTTTTAGTAGGCTTTAATGTTATTTAATGGAGTATTATTATGTTGTTTTTGATGTAAGCCATCCTGAGCCCTTATTAAAGTTGAATTTAATAATAAATAAATAAAATATTTTGTTTTAATCCCTACATTTTCAGAAGGGTCACAGTTTGCGTGAGAAGCTTGCTGAAATGGAAACCTTCAGAGATATCTTGTGCAGACAGGTTGATACGTTACAGAAATACTTTGATGCCTGTGCAGATGCTGTCTCTAAGGATGAACTCCAGAGAGATAAAGGTATTTCACCTGAAGTCAAAAGGCATAACATTCTAGGATTTCATTAAAAAGTGTTTTCAGTCTTTACCTGGCAGTCTTCTTAGCAGCAGGTAATGACTCAGATCCAGCCAGCTTTCTGGTTCTGACAAAGAGAGATGTAGTCCTTTTTAACCACTAAAGAAGGCTATGCTGATCATCATCTACAGTAGCCACATGAGAGGTGCTGTAGTATGGATGGGATTAGAATGACGTGTTTTTTTAAAAAGCTGGCTGGATCCAACCCAGTGTTGAACCCAGGGTCTAGCTCATTTGCTATTGACTCCTCTTCTCCTTTCAGATTCCTATCTGATACCATAAATTACCCACCTTGTGTCCTGATAGAAGAAAGGTGGACATAACAGTAATCTCATGCCAGCCCGCTGTTGCTGTGTGAACTCCCCTTTAAAAAGGGGTACTTGTAGAAACAAAGCGCAAATGCATTCATGATATTAAAATAAGAAATCTAAAACTGTTTCAGTCTGGTCCTATGCAAGTAGGAAAGAAGTCCTACAGAGTTCGGTGAGGATTAGTTCCAAGAAACCATGAATAGAATCAGCCTTAGCAGCAGAAATACTAAAATACACAGTTAAGCAGGAAGGAAATTTCACTGTTTGCTTTGATACTGATTTTACTGTTATTGGCCAGCCATTCTCTGTATTAAATCTTGACATTTACAGTAAATTTGTAAATGTAGTAATGAGGTCAGCCAAAGATTGCTTTCCCCTCTCCTAGGAAGCCGAAGGCATAACATTTCTTAAGTGTGTGAAGTCATGGAGTGACTCATCTGAAACGAATAAATCACTAGAGCATATGATTAAATCACTAGAGCATATGCTCTGCTGAACTGGTGTTTTCAAGTAATCCCCAAATAGTACAGCTGTACTACCTCCTGTATTTGGGTTTCTACCTTTCCTCTCACACATACACGCATTAAAAGGAGATGTGCACTTTTAACATATGAGAATGCTCATCTTGTTTTCCTGTGTGAAATGTATTTCCATGTAGGAAAGCAGCTTTTAAAAAAATCTCTAGTAAGAGAAGAAGAAGAAGAGATTGGATTTATACCCTGCCCTTCACTACCCAAAGGTGTTTCAGAGCGGCTTACAAACTCCTTTCCCTTCCCCTCCCCACAACAGACACCCTGTGAGCAGTGTTCCCTTTAAGCTGTGGAGTCTCGTGAGCAAAAATTCTACTTTGTGAGCTACTGCCATTAATGTGGTGAGCGAGCGATTTGGCTCCTGCATAAGTGAGTTTGCTCTGGAGCCATCCTTCCTGAGCGAAGACAGAAATGTATGAGCCAGAGGCTAAAAATCTGTGGGTTAGCTCACACTAACTCAGCTTAGAGGGAACACTGCCTGTGAGGTAGGTGGGGCTAAGAGAGGTCTTGACAGAAACTGCTCTTTTTCAAGAACTTATCAAGCTCTTATCAGAACTACGCTTGACCAAGGTCATCCAGCCAGGTGCAAGTGGAGGAGTGGGGAATCAAACCCGGTTCTTCAGATTAGAGTCTGCGCACTTAACCCCTACATCAAACTGGCTCTCTGAGCAGAAAAACTGGCTGACTTTCCAGATATTATTGCGGTATTAAAGGTGCCCCCCTGCTATTGACCTTGAGATTCTCAACTAGATACTTTAATTAATAATCTCTTTCTCTTGCAGTGGTAGAAGATGATGAAGATGATTTTCCTACAACACGCTCTGATGGAGAGTTTTTGCATAATAACTGTAGTAAAGAAAAATGTGAGTACATGTAAATTTATGATAACTTAAGTATTCAGTTGGTAAAAGAACAACCTAGGGGCCAAATCAAAAGTGCGTAAAATATAAATTAACTTTGAGATCAACTGTCTAAGTAGAATCAGCCATCCAAAGGCACACAACCTGTTTTTTAAATGTTAATACTGTAGAACTTTAGGAGTTCAAAGCTTTTATTTTGCATTTTCCACTATTAGTAACAGATCCTGTATAGACAAAAATATGTGTAGAATGTGGTTGGGAAACAAGTGTTAAGCCATTCTCAGTGTTACTTTAATAACATGGTTCGTTTTAGCATTCAAAAGAGAAGCCAATGTTGGATCAGGCCAATGGCCCATCCAGTCCAACACTCTGTCCCACAGTGGGCAAAAATACCAGGTGCCATTAGGAGGTCCAGCAGTGGGGCCAGGACACTAGAAGCCCTCCCACTGTTGGCCCTCCCTAAGCACCAAGAATACAGTGCATCAATTGCCCCAGACTGAGAGTTCCTATCTATACCTTGTGGCTAATAGCAACTGATGGACCTCTGCTCCATATGGTTATCCAATTCCCTCTTGAAGCTGTCCATGCTTGTAGCTGCCGCCACCTCCTGTGGCAGTGAATTCCATGTGTTAATCACTCTTTAGGTGAAGAAGTACTTCCTTTTATCCATTCTAACCTGACTGCTCAGCAATTTCATTGAGTGCCCATGAGTTCCTGTATTGTGAGAAATGGAGAAAAGTACTTCGTTCTCAACCTGCTCTATCCCATGCATAATCTTGTAAACCTCTATCATGTCACCGCTCAGTCATTGTTTCTCCAAGCTTAAGAGCCCCAAATGCTTTAACCCTTCTTCATAGGGAATGTGTTCCAACCCTTTTATCACTTTTTCTGCACTTTTCCCAGTGCTATAATATCCTTTCTGATATCCTTTCATTAAGTTTAAAATTGCTTTGATGTGTTTTTCTTGGTAACGTGGAAAACTGGTGTCCTAGACTTAAGCATACAATTATTTAAATTTGTTTTCCATTTGATTTTTTGGTAGACCTGTTAAAACTCTGATCTTCTTTGCAGTAGAGAAATGATTCAGTTGGCTTGACATGATTGCTTGTAGATGCTCTCACGTGCAGGGAAAAGTCTGCTTACTGTACTAAGAAGATTCAGGTGACTGACTTGATCCAGGAGGAGTGACTGAATCTGATTAGCTCCTTGCTATGTTCAGGAGCTTATGGCAATGAAGCAGAAGGGATGGGTGTAAGGTTCAGGGTTAATTTTGTTACAGACATCCCTTTTAGGGAAGATCTTGACAGCTCATGATGTCTACAGACTCAAGGATGTCTACTGTGAGCTGCTGAGTTACCTGAACTAAGAAACAAGATGAAAGGCAGTGGCACAGGAATATATGAAAACAAGAAAAAAATGCATGTGCCCAAATTTTAACACCAATAATCAATTAATTTAATGATAGTAAGACATATAAAGTACTCAGAACAAATTTTCCATAAACAGGTAGAAATTCACTGGTAAAGTTGATCACAGGTAGAAATTCACAGGTGGTGGTTTTCCACAAACAATTTGTAATAAATTCAAAAAAGTCCTTGAACTGTAAGGATGTAGTAGTGTCTCTGCCAGCTGACTTGACAGACCCTTGATTCTAAATCCATTTAAATAATTTTTTTCAACAATCATGCTGGATTCAACATTTCAAAGATTCATATAGACATCCATAAAGCATATTCATGTATAGCAATCCTCAGTGATTCCTTTTAAGTACAATAACATAATACCATCAACATACAAGTAACTGAACTCATAATATTGTAAGCAAAATTCAACATGAAATATTTCAATAGTGGTCCCACCCAATGCAGAATCAATGCAGAATCTATCATTTCTTGGAACTTGCCTTCAGAATTCTGAAGCATTTCACCATTTTCATTAGAGGGAAAGGTTCTCAAACAATGTAGAATTAGCTAGTGAAATAAATATTCTGCAGTCCCCAAAAACAGATGGTTCCATTAATTGGATTCCAGCTTCTCTGACTACCATATTCTCTATAGAAAACAAGTCAAATCATTTTGAGAATTTACGCCCAAAAGTTCTAATGCTCCAAATCTAAAAATGAACTGTGCTTCAAGCTGTAGTAATGTTTTTAACGTCAACTCTATTGTAGCAATGATGTTTAAACTTATAAAAACGTACAAATCTGATATCCTCTGGTTTATGCCCTTCACTGATAAAGTGAGATGTAAAAGGGGCTTCAGTCAATTTTGTTTTCACCCTCGATCTATGTTCCAAAATGCGAACCCTCAAAGGTCTTTCACTTTTTTTACTCTTTCCTAAGTACCACAACCCACATGGGCAGAAAATCAAATATAAGACTCCTTTGGACATGCAATTAATGAAACTGTTAATTTTCAGAGTCCTCCCAATACTATTTGGCAATGAAACAGAAGGGATGGGTGTAAGGTTCAGAGTTAATTTTGTTACAGACATCCCTTTCAGGGGAGAGCTGACAGCTCATGACTCAAGGATGTCTACTGTGAGCTGCTGAGTTACCTGAACTAGCCAGTCTTTTGTCCCCCTGAAAAGGGGGAGAATTCTCAACACAGATTAAAACTCCGACAGAAAAATAAAAGGGCTCAAAGCAATGTGTTCTTTCTGAGATTTTATTTAAAAAATTAAATAAGCAGGACAAGGAGCAAGCAGAGATAAATTGAAGCAGTCTCTTTCAAGTCATCATTTCCAGGCTCTCTGCTGTCCTCTCCTCCAGTTCATCTTTTGTAAGCCAAAGCCAGAAAGTGTTCTCAAAACATCTCAGTTTTCAGACTTGTGTCATGGCAGGCTTTTACATAAACAGTTTTTCCAGAACAGGATTGTCTCTTGGGTAAGCATTCGTGGGCATCCCCAACCACACATAAACAGGTATCTGTTGTTCAGAAACGCAGATTCAGCTCACAGGCTGAGCTGAATTAAGACTGTCAGAGTTCAACACAGAAATTTCTTTAAGCCCAGAAAGGCTAAGAAAACATGGTACTGTCCCAGTTTGCCTGGGATGAATCCATTTTAGGACATGCTTGCAATGATAGCAAAAGAGCTAATGGCTTCTGCCACCATTATATCTGCATAATGTTGTCCAGTGAAGCTTTCAAGAGTCATTCAGTGTTTTGTTTTAAGAATAAATGGCAGGTTACCTTCTGGTTGTCACTGCGCGAATCAGATAAAGTAGTTCTAATCCACTCTAGCTTGGAGTTTTCAATAGTTGCTCATGATCTGGACATTCCCTCTCCTCTTTGTAGTTCCCTGATGTGTTTCATCTTCTGCACACAGAGTGACATGAGGCTTACTCGCTGCTTGTTTGCCTAACCTTTGTCCTTTGTTATATCCAGATGTTAG